AAAATCAACAACATCACACTTTGTCATGCAAAATCTGCAAAGTCTTCTGAATCCACATTTTTCAGGGTTAGCCATGGTTAAATCACATGTTTGTTGGTGAATCAGCGTTTTCAATCGTTTGTTGGTCAATCACCTTTTTTTATATTTTCAGTCACACTTGAATTCATTCAAATCATTCAAATCTAATCTGTGCTGATCATTTCTGGTGCGAATCCCCATAATTTGATCATCTTTGTCACTTCCAGGAACCTCCAGCGTCACTTAAATTTATGCCCCAGTACCCTTTCGATACCTAAATCAACAAGTAGTCACCTAAATCACCTTTTCGTGACGTAAAAATATGCCCCGAGCACAATTTTGCAAATCGAGCGCTTTTCCTTCCAACAGCGCGTTTAAAGAACTCTTCAGCCTGCTGCCTACTTTTATCTGAGCCGTGGCTACTTGTCATTAAATGTGTGCAATTCTTCAGGGGTGAACATTTTTTGCAAGACCCACACGCTCAAAAAGGTCGCGCAAAAAATGTGCAAAACGGGCGCAAATCGGCGCAAAAAAGTGCAAACGGGCGCAAATCCAAAAAACGTTACCTCTAAACTCGAAAGGACTTCTCACGCACGTCTATTTGTGTTTGTCTGAACACCCCGATACCATTTGCAGAGAAAAGTGCAAAACCACGGCTCATAAAAACCTGTGACGTGCAGATTTTTCAAAAAGGAACACTTTTTCCTTCACGAGCGTAAACGTGCGTTTTAGGGCAGAAACTCAACGTCATGTAAATTTACGTTACTTTGGAGGTCCTAGGTTGAATCCCACTTTTCCATACTTTTCCTTGAGGTGGACTTCCTATAATTTTCTTGGTTTTTCTATGTTAACTCACCATTTTTCTTGATGAAATCGCCATAAAATCATCCATTTCCTTGGCAAAAAAACTCCGTGAACTCCCCATTTTTGGGCCTTGAAGTCCCCAGCGCGGCCTGGCCGCAGGCGGCAATGGTCACCACGTAGGTGCCCCAGGTGGGCGTGTTCCGACCACGAGCTGCGCAGCGACGGTTCAGACCATGGAACGAACTTTCCGGGGAGTTCAGCCACGAACATTGGGATTTAAGATGATTTACTTGCCCTATGCCATATGTGTATTGCGTATATCATGTATATTTCATATATATATATAATTATATATATATACTATTATATACTGGTTGGTGGTGCAATTTCACCATCTTGAAAAATGATGGAGTGAAAGTCAATGGGAAGGATGACATCCCATATATGAAATGAAAAATTAAACATGTTCCAAACCACCAGTAATATGATTTAGTAGTGTTTAACCAACTATTTCGTGGGGGATAAAACCAACAGTCCAGTGGATTCGACATGATTTGAGCTGATCAACCTAGGGGCTACATCCAATGCAGTGAACGAAAAAAAATCCCCTGGCCTATCCCTATCCAGTCAACAAATTCCAAATTTGGGCTGAATTAAAGGGATATGACCAACAGAACTGTGACATTTTAATCCGTCAAAATGGTAACTTGACCAATAAAACTCAGAACATCTGATTTAACCAGCCAGAAAAATAGGATTTGATGGATTTGGACAGACTTTTCGGTCGCAACGGGGCTGACAACCTGACGGTTGTAGAAGGTGGTCCAGATGGATTTACTCACATGGCCCATGATAGAGACAAGCCTTTTTTAATATTGGGAATGAAGGAGGGAATCCATTGAGAAAAGCGGACGGCGCCTGGTGGTTTTGACTGTTTTCCCCTACACCAAAGATTAGCGACCGGGATAAGTCGGGATTTTTTTTCACATCCCGCAGTTCCATGAAAAAACAACATCCTTGAACCAGCCAGAAAAAGGCATACCCTCTGGTAAATAACATTGCTATGGAAAATCACCAGCTTCTAGCTGGGTAAATCATGGTAAATCAACTGTTTCTATGTTCCATTTTCAACAGAGGGTAGCCCCAGGGATTCGCCACATCCCCCTGCACCTTCTTCGAAGAGATGTAGAGCTTCCCTCCAGTGGCGGCTATTTTCACATGCTGCGATGGCCGCGTTGTAGCCTTGGATCACTTCAGTGGCGTGATTCCAGATCACATCAATCTCCTTGCAATGAATGATGTTATTTGTATTCCAATAATTATGTCATATGTCAAAATCGTTAGCTTAAGTTGTTACAATATGATCATAATATGATTTAATTCCAAGTTTCCATATCATATCATCATATCAATCTCCTTCCAATCAAACTACATCATGTAATGGTTGTCCCTATTGACCAATCCAAAGGTATTATGTGTTTCGCCCATCCAAGCTCCGCAAACTCCGAACTGCCTCGCAAATTCACTCGAGTCCGGTGGTGGAACTTCACCACGACCATTCCCATGTGGATGTTCGACATCTGGAGGGTAACCGGTGAACCATATCATGTTTTTAAAAAAGAGAAGGACACGCATAGAATAATTACATACAACATCATACAACTACCTAACTAAAAGCATCTGAACTGGTGAACTATCCTATAGATTAAAAAATCATAACATGCATCTGTACGCATCTGTATTTTCTTTATAGGACCTAATTAGTAAAAAAACGAACACAACACCCACACGCCCTTGCTCCAAAGCCGAAACCTTGCACTTAAGACATCCCCCAACAGAAAAAGACACTGATGATGTTCGGCTTCAGCTTCAACGACCTTGCGGCTCACCCCGCGATATCTCCAGAACTTGTGGCTTCTGAAATCGGGGGTAGCTGGGGATACAATGGGATATAACTGGGATTTTTTTAATGGGATATAACTGGGATATTCTCTACAGCAAAAACCATGACTAACAACAGTTGTGGTTGTTACAAACTGGGCCCAAGGATAGGTAACTTGCTTTGCAACTTGGCATGGATAGGCATGGACTTTTGATGACATCATGGTTTTCTGAAACTGGCAACTTCTTGGATAAGAATGGGTTCACTGGGCACTGAGTCACTGACTTAGACCATGGACAATGGAACACGAAAAAAACATGGATGAAAGAGGGAGTTGTACTTTACTTGTGGGGTGATTGTCTTCCTGAAAATTGAAGGGTAGGCACGCTGAATGAAGGGAATGTGTCTACGGATTGAGGTCCGAGTCCAGGACGCCTTGCCCGCCAAAAGACATGGCGTCTGCCGTAGCAGAAAGTTTCTGGTTGGTGGTTTCAACCCCTCTGAAAAATGGGCTCATCAGTTGGGATAATTATTCCCAATATATGGAAAAAACATGTTCCAAACCACCAACCAGGTTTGAAGGTGGACAGGGCCGAATCCATGTTTTTGGGTGTAGAAAACGGGCGATTCAGCGATTCACTGTTCTCATCTTCGCTCCTCTTGGACCTGTGATGCGAAATCCTGTGCTGGATCTCCACAGTTCTTGAGAAAGGATGGCAATGGAGCCATCCACAACCAGGTTCTCAAATAATTCTAAGCTTCATCCAGTACTTGATCCTTGGGTTTGTCTAGACATGGGGAGATATCCACAACTTAAGTCAAGGCTCAAGGGATTTTTGTGATTTTTGACTGCTGGTTGGTGGTTTCAACCAAACCCTCTGAAAAAATATGACTTCGTCAGTTGGGATGATTTTCCATTCCCAATATGATGGGAAAGTCATTCAAAATTCCATGGTTCCAGTCACCACCAACCAGCCATTCATATTCCATTACCAAGGGTTAATCACCATTAAATCACCATTAAATCACCATTAAATCACCATTAAATCACCATTAAATCACCAACCACACTGGACGTTCGGGTACCTTATTGTTAGACAACCATCTATCCTTGTCACCACAGATGGTCACCCAAATGGGTGGTGCACACCAACCAGTCGCAGCCAGACCGGTCACCGGTCATGAAACATAGGAAAATCATCGATTCAAATGTGTAAATAGCAACCCAAATATATATGATAGAAAAAACACATGAAATCACCTATATAAAAATTCACCACAAATTCAAGGCGTGGACTTGGCTTTCTATCTTTTTTGGATACCCCGTAGAGTTTGTCCATCTCGCCACGTTCACATCCCTGCCTCGCACCAAGCAGGTGGATGGCACGCTGCCACTGAGCTACCTGGAGTTTTGGGATCCATTAGAAGCGGAACATTGTCTCATAGGATCCTTACAGTTATGGCCATTTACCAGTTATATAGGTTATATGGGATTATACATTCTATAAATGGGGTGACTTGTTAGTACTTATAACTGATAAATGGCCATAACTGTAGATAATAAATGACAATAAGGGTTATCAAGGGAATTAAGGGTTACTAAGGCTCAATAAGGGTCAATAATGGCTATGGAAAATATTGCAGACTAAAAACGACTAATTATAGGCATTATTATTACATAATAGTTTTGTGTTCATTGGTGTCTCTTAACCCTGATGGTTGGTGGTAGTTTTGCTTTTCTTGGACGGAAATGCTCTCAAATTCCAAAACTTAGGACACATGGTATGCAACTGCTAGTATATTCCTTGATACATCCATCTTATGTACGAATATCTTGAACTCTGGGGTGTTTTAAAGAGGGAATGTCGAACGACCCGCTTGCTAACCACTTACCGGCTATATTAGGATCAAAGCAGGGTGAACTTTCACCCTGTGGGCGACGGACCCAACGCTACCACTAACGACGGGTTTTACCGCTCAGAAAGACAGAGCTTGTTGTGTGAAATCAAAGTGTCAGCATGGTTTGCATGGTCAAAATTTGTCAAAGTTTTCATCAACTTGGCAACCATCCAACCATCCCAATATGGGCAAATTACAACAATTCACTAACCTGAAAAGTTGGGCCACTCCTCTTCCGTTTCCCCGGCCCATGCCCCGCGAGCAGACATGAACCGGTCCGTAGTCCATAGGCCTTAGAGAATCCTCAGATCAGATCGGGTGAGACACACAAACCTTAGTAGTTATGTATGTTGAAGTCAAAAAACTAGACGACGGATAAAAACCAGGATATTCATTTTCAGGATCTGGTCATTCGGATTTCTCGTCGGCGTTGATTGTATCTTCTGCTGCGATCCGCTAACGTATTGTCTGCGGGATCTGGCAACTCAGAAAAAATAACTGGTGTACAAAATGGCAGGTCCGGGTGATTCCGGAATGTCGGAGCCTCACCTGTTTCAGTGGGCTGAAGAAACTTCATCAAAACGTCCAGAGTTTCCCTTTGTTTCAGCATGATGGGTCTGTATGCAATGCCCTGTTTCAAGTGTTTACTGCCCAGCACGCAAATCGATTTTACTTTGTGAGGAGTCATCGTGGGCATGATATCATGTTGGACCAGATATTGTAGATGTGCTAAAGAATCTCGAAAGCTGTTGACCATCCGTGTGAAGCAGTGAGCCCTCATGTCAAAGCCAGGGTTATCTTCCTCATTTTTGTATCTCGATTGTCCTTCTTCTCTGATGTTGAGCGGAATGCTCCGCCCAGTGGTAAGCAAAAAATTTACTGCAAGTTCAACCCAAGAGACTCCAGTTGGTGGTTTATTGGTGTCAGGTTCAAGTGGCCACTGTAGAGTTTGAGTCCATGCCATGAGCATCGCTGTGTACCCTGTTCCCCACCTACTTGCATGTGCTACATATTGGAGATCATCTGAGATTGTAAACTGTCGGACTTCTGCTGGATTCCAATCGTATAATAGCTGCTTAGGTCGGTCTGGGTCCACATAGTTGATTTCGTCCTTAATCAGTCGTGCTCGCATACACGCCAAGTCTGCTCGCATCTGAAGCTGCAAGAGAAGGTGTTCATCAAAGTAAAACTGCTGTTTTCTCAATTCATCCATCTTATGTGTCAGTGGTCGCGCCAAGCGAGTTTGTGCCAGTTGTGCTGCATGGTCAGCTACTGCATTACCTAGCCTGTGCATGAAATCCGGATGTGCTGGCTCGAGCTCTTGGTGAGCTTTAATTTTTTGTACGCGCAAGCGTTGGTTTTCGCTCCAGTAGAGTGCATGCAATCTTTTTAGCAGGTCATAATTGGGTCTCTTGTGGAGAGTGCGGACATCACGATTATTCATTACCAACAAATGACAATCAACGACATATTGACTATCCGTGACAACGACTGCTGATTTTTTCAGTTCATGACTGAGGACCGCCGCTGTCAATTCCGCTCTGTCAACTGTCTGTATACCCTGCACATGAGAGACCGCAACAGTTGTGAATGCATGGTCAAGCAGCCATGGTATGTCTGTAAGCTTGCTCGTGGGAAGAGCGTGCAAGGATACATGTGGGTATACAACTGCATAGGTTGCCATCCTAGTCTCAATTTCTTTAGGGTGTTTACAGGAACCATCAGTGTAGATAAAGTCCACAAAACCAAATGGTGGCTGAAAAATTTGAGGCGGTGGCATGGTCTGCAAAAGAATATGACAAAATTCAATCTCAGGATCTTTGTAGGCGAGAGGGAGCATGGTATGAATTTCATCATATGTTTCAAGAAATGCGCATGCTTTTTGGTGTGGCTCTCTGATGACCTGAGTAGCGGGACACTCCAATACTCTGTGCTTAGCTGTGTCAGTAGCGTCACAAAACTCGCACTGCAACGGTTGGTCTGGATCGAAATGCCTTTTTTGGTCATTGAGCATAAATCCAGCAGTCATGTCTATGGCAACCATCTGTTGCTGGGTCTGTGGCAGCTTGGCGATAGCTTTGCGCGATCGCTGTCTATCTGGTGTCGGAATGTTGGACATCCCCTTTCGGTTGGAGATGCTAAGTGACACATTTGCCATCCATGCATGGTCAACTGCATCCAGAATGGTGTCAAGGTTACTATGAAGCAAGTTAAGGGTTTGAGTGGCAGAAACATACAAATCCCCTTGCTTATTTATCCCCCATCCTAATTTGGAGATATAGGCGTGGAAAGCAGTTGCTGGCCCCAACACTTTGCTCGCCCTGATGTCGGTTTTTACTGCAAGGGCGAGAAATAGTTCACAATCTGAAGGATCTGCATGAAGCAAAAAGTGTCTGGCGGCTCTAATGGCCTGTGCAATAGTGTGATGTTCTGGGTCACAATTCATTTTGGACAAACATGTGCAAGCAATGTGGCTCTGGACATTGTGGTGATCACCTACAAACGCTCGTGCAATCGCAGACCTTAGTTGAGTGTAATATCTGTCTCCACATTGGTACATATGGGTACCAAAGAGTGCCTTTGTGAGTGCTGCAGCTGAGATGATATGGGATTTTTCTTCCAATGTATAGTCTGCGTGCTGTAATTTTTTGAGCCTCTTCAAGGCCTGCGCATGTCTCTCTTTCTGAGTTCCTCGGAATGGTTGCTGTCGATAATGCATGATGTAGCCCAACTCTCTGGCATGTCCTACCTGTTGGATGGTGGTGTCTGGCGGCAAAAGTGCATTAGCTGCTTGTTTTAGGGCGTCTTTATGTTGGCTATCAGTGCTCCATCCCCAAGTTTTCCCCCAATCTATGGTCAGCGCCATGGCGGCTGCAATTTTTTGGAGGAAGGCAATGGTTGGCATGTGCATGGTTGCATCAAAAGTTGCATAGGCCCAATTATCTGCGAAGGCATGGAGCCGCAAGTTAGGATGATTCAGCAAGCCTGTCCACAGCTGGTTGATGGCCAACATTGCTGTCACTGAAAGAGAATCCCCTTCTGGCACTCCCGTAGTGGCGAGTTCTACCGGGTGTAACTGGCCATGCACTTGCCAGTGTCTCTGCATGTTGTGCAGTGATTTGATCCACTGTTGCGCCAGTCTTGTTGGCACCCCCAATCTTATGAGAATGTGGCAAAGGGGTTCTTGGGGTAAGGTATTAAAACATTTGGTTAGATCCAGGGTGATGCTTCCCCAGTGTTGTTGGCAATGTCCATGCTGAGTTGCCTCCAAATGGAGTTGCATACGGTATACAAAATCAAGGGAGTTTCGACCTGGCACAAAGCCTGTTATGGAATCAGAAAGTTGGTACTTCCAGGCATCAAGAATTTTTCGTGCTAATACCCTACTCCAAAGGCGATAAATTATGGGCAAAATTGTGATTGGTCTGGTGTATTTCGGTGATGTAGCCCCCTGTTGCTTGGACACAGGCAAAACTCGAGCATCCATCATCCATGTTGGAAATCCTTTCGCATAGTGTTGGTCAAGCAAAAGCATGAGGTCTCGGATGCAGCAAGGTGGCAAATTCTTCAGTTCATCAGGAGACCACCCACAGCTGCCTCGTGCTGTTGTGGATTTGGTGGCCTTAATGGCCTGTAGCCAATCTGGCAAGTGGGTCATGTCCACAGCAAGCAGTGGTTGCTGCGGCAGCTGCTGGAGCAAGGCTTGAAACTCTGGCCATTCTGTGATGTCATGTTGTGCATTTTGGGAGTCTCGCCCCCAATATTGATTCCAAAATTTAGAGAGCTCTTTGCTAACTGCTTCCGGTTGGGAGGTGATTGTGCGCTGTCGAATCGTAACTTGAGTGGGTAGCGTGTCCACTTCATCATGTATCATGATTTCGAGAGTGTCATCTGCAGCTTGCACAATAGTTGCAACATGATCTGCTACTTGAATATGCTTAGTTAAGTCCCAGTCCTGATTAGGTGGTATCTTAACCTTGGCAAGTCCATATTGAGGTTGTTGGCATACTTCAGCTGTCGCAGTAATGTATGTGTCTACGGTTTGGATGAGGCCTGGAGAAGGTTCACGGATTCTTTTGTAGGCCATTTTCTTCCCAAACCTTTTCATGTCTTCTTGCTGTTGAAATTGGGCTAAGCTCTTTGCTTTTTGTTTCAAAGAATAGGACAAACGATCTGCTTCATATTTGAGAAGTTGTTCCATTGTGAAAAGATAACTGACTGTTGGGATTCCATCTGGAAATGGCATTAGCTCTGGTTTTTGCTTCATCCATGTCGGGAAGCTTTGATAAAATCCAACTGCTTTGAGTATTTTTTGCCATTCTTGTTGAAGTTGAGGATAATGTAGATCATGATGGATGTAAAGGTGGTCTTTTTTATTGAGACGTTGTTTCAGCGATTGAATCCGGCGTATCTGCCTGGTCCAATGCGTCAGCTGCATATTTGGTTGGTCATTTTGGGGAGTATAATGGGATGTCCAGGCTGGCTTGATAGCTTTCGGTAAGGGTTGCTTGGTGAGCTTTCTCGGCTGACATCGGCCACGAAACTTTTTGGGAAGACCGTCCCATGGGATTTGGCTGGATCAATGTCATGCTGTTTCCGCAGTGCGGCGTGCACTGCTTGCTCTACCCTAGCTGCCCAAACTTGGATTGGTTCCAAGTCTCCGTGGTCTACTTGATAAATTTCTTCCTGATTATAGAGTGGGTTATAGAATTTCTCAATCCAACTGGTCTCTGGTTCAAGCGATATCCATGGAGTGGGTATTTTCCAATGCTGGGTGTATAATTCAGTGGCAGGAATCTGTAGCTGGAAGCACAAAGGATTATGGCCTGCAAAAATTTTTGAATCATCTACCCAAACATCGGTTACCAAGTTTGACAGGCTAGGAGATAGAATAGCGACATCATTCCTGGTGGAATTGCCATAAGTGGCTGGGAGCTGTGTTCCTTTTGGTTCAAAGTGAAGTTCTTCAATAGTTTTAAATCCAAGGTTTCTCAGCATGGTCATAGCGTCTAATTGATCTGGATGGTGATTGAAGTCTCCACATATCATGGTGGCATGCGTGCTGTGTCTGCTTCGGCAAATGACATGTTCAAACAGGGTGTTGGTTTTTCCCCTAGCCTGTGCGGTGGAAGCAGGAAAACCATACATATTGCATATCTGTATTTCGAGATTGGGAAACTGGACAAAAACTTGCTGACATCGACCGGAGTAAAACCAGTCAGTGTCATCTTTCTGCGCGGAGCTACGGCAAGGGAACCTACTGTGTGTGGAAACTCCAGCTGCTGCACCTCGCAAAGATTCATCTGGGCCGGAATGAAGTTGTGGGGGTACTGGATGTCCCCATACGCTGTGGTAGCCCAATGCGCGTAGCTTTGGTGTTTCAATGGCTTGGACCGCTTGGGTTGCTGATGTTTCACTCATCATCAAAATGTCCGCCGCCATTTCATGGAGGTCACATGATTTTTGATAAATGCTAGTAGGATTTGTCACCACACAGGTGATGTGACCATTTTCGGGTATTGAGGGCCCCGGGTGTTTTGCTTCTCCTATTCGAATGCCATGGCACGGATGCAGACGAAAAGGCAAAATGATGTTCGGTACTGCAAGTCTTCGCTTGTCAGGCTGTCTTAACTGATCAAAGGATCTATGCATGTACTTATGTTCCTCTGGTGGTAAGCAATGACAATTAGCTTTTTGAGGCATGTCAAAATGCGACCTGGCAAAATCAGAACTGGTCCAAAATGTACAATGGCATGATTCCAACGGCAAAACTAGTGGGTTCCCCAAAGGTTTTTGGGTGCATGTGCATTGGGCCGGAAGTGTGGGCCCCGGGTGTGTTGCTTCTCCTATTCGAATTCCATGGCACGGATGCAGTCGAAAAGGCAAAATGATCGGTACTGCAAGTCTTGGCTTGTCAGGCTGTCTTAACTGATCAAAGGATCTATGCATGTACTTATGTTCCTCTGGTACCTTAGGTAAGCAATGACAATTAGCTTTTTGAGGCATGTCAAAATGCAACCTGGCAAAGTCAGAACTGGTCCAAAATGTACAATGGCATGATTCCAACGGCAAAACTAGTGGGTTCCCCAAAGGTTTTTGGGTGCATGTGCATTGGGCCGGAAGTGTGGGCCCCGAATGTTTTGCTTCTCCTATTCGAATGCCATGGCACGGATGCAGACGAAAAGGCAAAATGATGTTCGGTACTGCAAGTCTTCGCTTGTCAGGCTGTCTTAACTGATCAAAGGATCTATGCATGTACTTATGTTCCTCTGGTACCTTAGGTAGGCAATGACAATTAGCTTTTTGAGGCATGTCAAAATGCGACCCGGCAAAATCAGAACTGGTCCAAAATGTACAATGGCATGATTCCAACGGCAAAACTAGTGGGTTCACCAAAGGTTTTTGGGTGCATGTGCATTGGGCCGGAAGTGTGGGCCCCTGATGTTTTGCTTCTCCTATTCGAATGCCATGGCACGGATGCAGTCGAAAAGGCAAAATGATCGGTACTGCAAGTCTTCGCTTGTCAGGCTGTCTTAATTGGTCAAATTATCTATGCATGTACTTAAGTTCATCGGGCACCTTAGGTAGGCAATGACAAGTAGCTTTTTGAGGCATGTCAAGATGCGACCTGGCAAAGTCAGAACTGGTCCAAAATGTACAATGGCATGATTCCAACGGCAAAACTAGTGGGTTCCCCAAAGGTTTTTGGGTGCATGTGCATTGGGCCGGAAGTGTGGGCCCCGGATGTTTTGCTTCTCCTATTCGAATGCCTGGGCACGGATGCAGTCGAAAAGGTAAAATGGTTGATGATACAAGTCTTCGCTTGTCAGGCTGTCTGAATTGGTCAGAGGATCTATGGCTATACTTATGTCCCTCAAGCACCTTGGGAAGGCAATGACACTTGGCTGCAAGCAGCATGTCAAAATGCGACCTGGCAAAATCAGGACTGGTCCAAAATGTACAATTGCATGATCCTGATGGCAAAACGTTTGGGTTCCCCAAAGGTTTTTGGGTACTTGTGCATTGGGCCGGTGATGAGGGCCCTGGATATTTAGCTTCTCCTATTCGCATGCCCCTGCTCGGATGCAGTCGAAAAGGTGGAAAATTTAGTCCTACAAGGCTTCGCTTGTCGGGCTGTCTTGATTGGTCAGGGGATCTATGCCTATACTTATGTTCCTTAGGCACCTTAGGGAAGCAATGACGTTTGGCTGCAATATGCGTGTCAATGTGCGACCTGGCAACATCAGAACTTGTCCAAAAAGTACAATGGCATGATTCCAACGGCAAAACAAGTGGGTTCCCCAAAGGTTTTTGGGTGCATGTGCATTGGGCCGGAAGTGTGGCCCCGGGTGTGTTGCTTCTCCTATTCGAATTCCATGGCACGGATGCAGTCGAAAAGGCAAAATGATCGGTACTGCAAGTCTTGGCTTGTCAGGCTGTCTTAACTGATCAAAGGATCTATGCATGTACTTATGTTCCTCTGGTACCTTAGGTAAGCAATGACAATTAGCTTTTTGAGGCATGTCAAAATGCGACCTGGCAAAGTCAGAACTGGTCCAAAATGTACAATGGCATGATTCCAACGGCAAAACTAGTGGGTTCCCCAGAGGTTTTTGGGTGCGTGTGCATTGGGCCGGAAGTGTGGGCCCCGGATGTTTTGCTTCTCCTATTCGAATGCCATGGCACGGATGCAGTCGAAAAGGCAAAATGATCGGTACTGCAAGTCTTCGCTTGTCAGGCTGTCTTAACTGGTCAAAGGATCTATGGCTATACTTATGTTCCTCAGGCAACTTGGGAAGGCAATGACACTTGGCTGCAAGCAGCATGCCAAAATGCGACCTGGCAAAATCAGGACTGGTCCAAAATGTACAATTGAGTGATCCTGATGGCAAAACGTTTGGGTTCCACAAAGGTTTTTGGGTACTTGTGCATTGGGCCGGTGATGAGGGCCCTTGATATTTAGCTTCTCCTATTCGCATGCCTCTGCACGGATGCAGTCGAAAAGGTGGAAAATTTAGTCCTACAAGGCTTCGCTTGTCGGGCTGTCTTGATTGGTCAGGGGATCTATGCCTATACTTATGTCCCTTATGCACCTTAGGAAAGCAATGACATTTGGCTGCAATAAGCATGTCACTGTGTGACCTGGCAACATCAGACCTTTTCCAAAATGTACAATGGCACGGTCCCAAGGGCAAAATTGGTGGGTTCCCCAAAGGTTTTTGGGTGCTTGTGCGTTGAGCATTGGTCACCTCTTCGGTGACGAGGCTTTGCATGGATGGCCAGAACAATTTGGCATGGGTACTGGCTTCATACACACGTGAGGCTTGCAAATTGGCAATATCCTGAATAAGCATGGCAAGTCTTCGCTTGCTAAGTCGCGAACAGTTCGGGTGCTGATTTATACCCCTCTGCAGACCTGAATGATCTATGCACTTTACGCAAAATGCCATGCAGTGCTGGGCAAAACTGGTTTGCAGGATAGATACAACTAGGTTCAAACTGTCACCTCTAATTTTGAATGCATGCAAGCGCTTTTGACATAGTGATGGTGGCTGGCCAAGTCACTCCTGATCCTCCATGTCACCAGCTGACTCTGCTGGCGGTCGCTTGATTCCTCTTGATTGCAAAAAGAGGGCTTTCAACTCATCCATGGATTGGGCTAGGCGATCATCTTGGCGTTGCATGGCTTGTGCAATCGATTGTGTCATGCTTTTCTGCTCAGTGTAGATTTGGTCAAAATTTTGACTGGATAGTGTCATGTGTTGGGACAAGGTCTGACCCAATTGTGTCAATTTGGCATCAGTGTCTGTTGCTTTTTGCTGTTGTGTCGCTTGAAGTTGTGTCATGGCAGTTTCAATGGCTTGGATTCTGTTGTCTTGTTGCTGAAACATCTCTTGTATGGGTCCATCCGGCTGTCGCTGTGATGCTTCCTGAGGAGCTTTCGCAGTGGCAGCGGTCATCAAGGTTGCTTCCTTTGACACTGCGGGTGTGTGTGGCTTTTGCTTCATCCATGGGTCCATGTATGGATCTCCCGTTTTAAAAACTGAAATTGTGTTGTCACTTCGGTCATGTTTGGAAGGTGGTTTCGGCCTAGGGCCGGCTGCAATGGCCGATGTGGCTGCTGCTGGTCTGTTGACCACCTGTTGGGTCAGTATCGGCTGAGAATTGAACATCATCAGGATCGGAGGTGGCTTTTCACTGCAAATCAACCATTGCTTGGCTCCTACTGGTCTGAGTGGCTTTGTTGTCCAGTCATAGGAGGCTGTCCATTCCTGCAGGATTTCTTTCGTGGTGCCCACTGGAAAAGGTTGAAGTCGATATGTCAACGGCATCATCCTGTTGTCTGGCGGCGTCTGATCTGGCTTAAGTTTCAGCCATGCTTGTTGATATGCACCTGCTTCAATGCGAAGGCCAACTGATTTTGATCCTCTGACTAGGCCAGCTGCACCAGTGAGGTTGGCTGATTTGCTCTCAATCATGCTAGGTGACATGGCTAGCCATATGACCTTCCATGCCCCATCTGTTATTTCCTCAGGGGTTTTTGGTATCATGAATATACGATTGAAACCTGATCTCTTCAAGAGGGATTGCAGTCTAGGTCCCCGGTGGAACTCTGCATGAAACTGAATTGAATCTGCTTTGGATGCTTCAACTGGGAGGCCTTTGGCTCTGAAAGATCTGCCCCATGGTTTGGACATCGTGTCCTGGTAGCCTTCAAGGGCTAGTAGGTCACGTGTGGTTTTGACTGGCGCTTGGCAAAGTCGCTGCCACATGGCTTCGTCAAAATCAGTTTTCCAAAGTGTCACTGCCAGTATCTGAATCTTGGAGTGATCAAGTTCAACTTCAGTTGGTGGCATGGGCTGGATGTGTCTATGACCTAGCTGAATCAGTCGTCCATTCAAAAGGACTCTTCTGCCTTGCGAATCAAAAGCTGGTGCATTGGTGGACACGACAGTGAATGCAGGTGGAATGGCAAAATCTCCCACAACGTAGATCGCTAACTCATCGGCCGCACGTTCGGTGGTCGTTGCAAGCAGGTCTTGTGCTGTGGATGTTGACATGAGCGTGACTCCTGTGGCATGCCATGAGAATTGGCTGTGCAACATAGCAGGTGTTTGGTCTTCGTTTCGAAAAAATCCTTCTTCAAGTTGGTATTGTTGGACATCAATATTTTGGTGAAATTTGTTGTTTCTCTGCATCTTTTGTTTTTTCGTCTTGGCTGCAGCAAGGTGGAGGCTGGCGGCCTTCCTGGGAAGTTCAATCTGAGCTTCTGTGCAGATCTGGCGCAAATGTTGGATTGCTTCACTGGCAGAGTCGGTCTGCAGCAAGTGATGAATCCTTGGCAAACCTGCAAAGTCCAGGATGGCAGTGGTGGTAGTGGTGACTGCTGGAAGGTCTAGACCTAGATCTAGCAACAGGTTCGCTACTCCTGCCTGTGCAATTCGTAGTGAATCTTGTTTGGCAGTGGGATTTCGTTCATTCGGCCCTCCCCCTGACATAGGTGGTGAGAAATGGATGATGATTGGTCCAGATTTAGGGAGCCTATCAAAAAGGTCCCAAATGGTGGCTGGCTCTGTGCATCGTCGTCCACTGGCCAGCATACTGGGCTGTCCCTGTCCAAACAGTTGATACACATGTCGCAAGATGGTCAAAAAAGTTGCAATTGGAGTGGATGGTGCGAAATTGCATCGAATCAAAACTTTGCTCAATCTTTTGATGATGGTATCATAACCCGTATTGGTTTGCAATGCCATAAAACCAGTCTTCCAAAGTCTCCATGCTAGGGCTTCTACAAAAACCTTTAATGGCATGGCCGGATTGGGAAGCTTTGGCCTGAAAATCAACCGCCATGTGGTGTCATCAATCAGTTGATAGTTGCATTGACGTCCAACCTGGTGATACCATGTGATGTGATCTTCAGTCATCCAAAATCGAAGGAATGCATTGCGTGCTTCCTCATCTCCTTCACAGTGCAACACCAGAATGTCTGTGTTATACGGCACAAGCGGTTCAAAATGGACACCTGACAGTGCGTTCAACTGGCTTTCCACAATGGTTGGCTGCACAGGCTCATATATTTCATCATTGACTTCACTTGGGCTGCGGAAAACCGTGGCTTCATGCAAGTCACCAAAAATGTCCTGTTTGGCAGTCTTCAGTTTTGGGTGCCATTCCACAATTTGTCTCCATGTTGAACCTTCCACAATGTCATAGAGTGTCAGGTCAGTGCTACTGCGATGCAGGATTGGGATGGTCGATTTGGCCTGCATGTCAATTTGGTCAAGAAGAGCTTGACTTTCTGGTGTCAGTGGCATTGGTGACAGGATTGCTTTTGGCGGCATCTCAGTTTCACGTAGCTTCTGCATGGCTTGATGAGGTTGCCATCCAGCGACCGGCTGGAGTGGTTGGCTCCAAAGATCAATCAGGCTTGCTACTGTCACATCTGGATGAACTCGCAAAACTCCATATTCACCAGGCACAAGTTTGGGAAGGACTGCATACTGCGTTGATGGTGGTGAACTGTCATCACAATCATCAAGGTCTTCAATGGGGTCTTCTATGGTTTCTGGGATTTTTGCTGTCTCGTGGCTGTCGGCGTGGTAATGGTCAATCTGCAAAATTCCATCCACTGGAGAAAAGAAAACATCTGAGGGCCATTGGTTGGTCTGGTCATGGGACCAATTCATTTGGCTCATGAAAAACTTCCATCGATTCTGCAAGGTCATGATCTGGGCCGGCTGTCCTACGTACCATGCAAGGTCGTCTTGTTGAATGGCTGCATTTGTAGTTTTCAATCTCCCCTGAATGGCTGTTTCTACCATTGTGGTTGGGTTGATAGAATCACCATCATGGATGTTGTGGGCATGAGCAAGGGCAAAAATTGCATGTGGTATCGTGATGCAATTCCCCAGGGTTTCCCAGCCTAGTTGTTTGGGCTTTAGGATCGTGACAGGTGCCGTTTGGCCATGGAGCAGTGCAATCTCATATGGGGACCAAAATCGGAATGATGTTCCACTCCTGAGAAAATGGCCAAACAATCCTCTGTTGGAAAGTTGATATGGTCTCAAAAGGTGCTGCTGACCATAGCGCGCCATGAAGGTTGGGATTTTCCCATCCAGGCTTGGGATTCGGTAATCCAGGATCTGTTTTTTGGACCAAATTCTGTGTGTTCCTGGCATGAAGTCGGATGCAAAATACATGGTGGCTTCAGCAACACTGGGTTCGAATTGCAGGCTTTCAGAGGCAGTCATGCATCGGATGGCTTCAAAATTCCTGGCTGTACATGGAATGCGTGGCCATGCATATGTATGCAACAGTTGCATGTGATGTGTGGTAAACTTTCATGATGCACAAGAATGCCAAGCCATCTTGCTCGTCTGCAAGGGGTCACTGTGGCAATGTCATATGTTCCTGAATGCAAAAGATGAAAGCCTGCCCACTGCATCATTCGTTCAGCCAATCCAAACTGTTCATGCGTGGCAAAACCTGCAACCTGTTCAATGGCTACAACTGGAGGTTTAAACAGTCTGATGTGTCCCAATGCATGACCTAGTGCAAGTCCATCTGGTGACCAAAATCCCTCTTGCGATGCTGCTGTGGACCAAGAGACACACGGTGCTGAAATCGTCCATCGAAACATGGGCAAAAATTGGAGCTGTTTTTGCCAGCTCAGATCCTGTACAGTTGTGACCATGACTGCACTTCTGCCATGTCGTTTCATGAAATCAGCAGGAATGTTGGTGGTATCTCCAATAATGCTATATCCATGTGTCAATGCAAACTGAGTGGCGCTGGATAAACTACATTCAATACCCAAGGTCTGATATTTTTTGCATCCCCTGGTTTCCAGAAATCGTTGCGCAAAAGACCAACCCCCGAATCCTCCCGCAAATTGCTCAAGTGACCAGTGATTATCCATGCTGTCAAATCTATGTGGGCTCCACGGTACAAGCAGACTGTCACTGTGTGCCCTCAGTCTGAGCGGTTGCACCTGTTCCACACTAACATTGTGGCAGAAAATTTCAGTCTCCCCAATCAAAGGTCGATGTGTCAAATCTGCTAGCAAGGTCGCTGGAATGTCATGGTCGTAGCTTGGGATGGTGTCAGTATGCCAAGTCATGTATCTGTGATCATAGAGTGTGGGTTGTTTGATACTTCCATGAAAAATGATCCCCTCTGAAACTTCTGATGTCAATCCAGCAAGCAACAAATTGGCCCGTGTTGATGCCTTCAGTGATGAAGTCGATGTCACATCATAAGATCTAATGAGGTTGATCAAGGGAACAGGACACACTGAGAACGCCATGGCCCAATTGGCAGGATCTAATCCTGACAGCACATGCCCCTAGTCGGCTTGGGCCTGAAGGCCTGAAAAGTTGGGCCATTTTGGGATGATTCCCCTTATGACAACCATGATTCCAGGGTTCGGGAGAACAGTGAGGTCGTTATAATTTGCCGCTGGGTTTACCACATTGCATCCCCACAAAAATCCCGGTCAACGATAAAAATTATGTGATGCGAAAACAACTCCCATTTAAGTAAAAAAACACAGCTGTTGATTCGGTTACATCATGTTACATCACAATTCTTCATGCTTCCATATATGGTATATATATATACCCTCTGGTAAACTAACATAGCCATGGAAAATCACCATTTTGAAAGGGTAAATCAACTATTTCGACTGGGCCATTTTCAATAGCTATTTTGACATAACCAGAGGGTAACCATCTTGAAAAATATGAGTTCGTCAATGTGAAGGATGACATCCTATATACTATATATGGTATATCTATATATATATAATATAGGGTGGGTCTTTGGATATGGTATATATATATATGGTATACATATGGGGTATATATATAATAGGGTGAAATCACCAAAATTTCATCCCATGGATACCTCCTTTTTGGATGAAATCTCCCATTTCGCAAAAAAAACGGCCGCCTTTTCGCAGGCGCTGATCGCAGCGTTGAGGCCGATCACATCGCACTGCAGGGAGGCCTGCAAAGTGGTGCGTGGTGAATCGGCCGATTTCGTATGGAAATTCATATGGATTTCATATGGAAATATATATATATATAATGTGTATATATATATATAAACATCAAACTATATGGATCAATGGATTTCTACAGTTATGGCCATGGCTACCAGTTATAATTGGCGATATCTATGGGATTATACATTCTATAAATGGGGTGACTTGTTAGTACTTATAACTGATAAATGACCATAACTGTATGGAAATGTATAAACATCAAACATATGGATCAACCACGGCTACATTGTGAATTTATGTAAATTTGAACATCAAAGATGGAATAACATGCAGATTTTACTGCACAATGGACATCTAATTGTCAAGAGAAGAATGTAGAATCATGTAACAATGTGGCCCTTTTGAAAAGGACATTTGTGGTACCCTCTGGTAACATACAAAAAGTGAACTGGAAAATCACCATAGAAATAGTGAGTTTTCCCATGAATAGCATGGTGGAACTTTCCATAGTTATGTAAACGTTTACCAAAGGGTAACCATGATATAGTCCATTAAAATCCCATTAAAATACCATAAAATCCCATTCAATCACCATTAAATCACCATTAAACTCCCATTAAACCCCCATTAAATCCCATTAAATCCGAATAAATCACAATAAGTCTCCATGAAGTCCCCCTATAAGCTCTCCCATAAATCCAATGAAATCGTCCTCCCATTCTACAACCATTTGATTCGTCCCAAAAAGGCCACTGGGCCGGGCCGTGTTTTCCTCGCTAGCAGAGATCTTGATTGGGGAGATCCAAAACAAGGGCGACATGAAAATTCTTAATCTGATCTGCTTGGTGGTTTCAACCCCTCTGAAAAATATCCACAACTTGTCATTTCAAGGGTTTTTTTGTTCAATGACTGCTGGTTGGTGGTATACCTACCCCTCTGATCCCATTCAATCACCATTAAATCACCATTAAATCACCATTAAACTCCCATTAAACCCCCATTAAATCCCATTAAATCCGAATAAATCACAATAAGTCTCCATGAAGTCCCCCTATAAGCTCTCCCATAAATCCAATGAAATCGTCCTCCCATTCTACAACCATTTGATTCGTCCCAAAAAGGCCACTGGGCCGGGCCGTGTTTTCCTCGCTAGCAGAGATCTTGATTGGGGAGATCCAAAACAAGGGCGACATGAAAATTCTTAATCTGATCTGCTTGGTGGTTTCAACCCCTCTGAAAAATATCCACAACTTGTCATTTCAAGGGTTTTTTTGTTCAATGACTGCTGGTTGGTGGTATACCTACCCCTCTGAAAAATGATGGAGTGAAAGTCGGTTGGGATGATGACATTCCCAATATATGGAAAGTCATAAAACTCATGTTTCAAACCACCAACCATTCAATCCCTGCATTGACGGATGTTTCATGATTTTTCCTCATCTTCCCAACTCCTAGGGAGACTGGTTGGTTGTTTCATGCCCCCCGAAAATCTTCACCAATCGATGGCACTTAAGTTGGGGTCATCAATTGGAGCGTCACTTTGGGAGCCTGGCTGGCTGCCATAAACTATAATGTTGGTCAAACAATCATAAACCATCCCATTTCACCATAAATAGGTGGTATAAACCATTTATAAACCATTCCCAAATGGATGGTTTATCGTTTTACTCACATTACTGTAACCCCAGATCTTCTGTTCGTGGGTTGAATCCACGTCTATACCCTTGCGGGTTAGTCAACTCCCGCCGCCGGTGTTTGTGGCGCTCGAATTACTAGTTCTCAACATTGGCTAGCCCTAAAATCCGTCCATGGATAAGACTCATCCCATCCCTCGTTCGTATCAAACATCCCCAAAGGAAACCATGGTGCAATGTATGGGGCATTCATTTTTATCTACCCTCTGGTAATTTAACATAACTATGGAAAATCACAATTTTTAATGGGAAAATCCACTATTAATGGTCATTTTCAATAGCTACGTTAAATTACCAGAGGGTATGTTGATTCCAATTTGGAACCATAGCAACGGGGTCTTTCACATGAAAGATGGGATAAAAAAGTCAGTGGCATCTTGAGCAACTGCAAGTGCTTCACGATGCTCAGACTCTGCATGGCCATGGCTACCAGTTATAACTGGTGATTTCGATGGGATAACAAACATTCTATAAATCGGGTGACTTGTTAGTACTTATAGCTGATTTTTATGGCCATAACTGTGGGAGAGAGGTCATCCGAATGCCTTCGGATCTTCCAGTCGCACCCAGTCGGAGCAGGGTTGGATCCATGTAGACCATTGGTCGACCACAGTTCTGGCCATAAAAATCAGTTATAGGTACTAACAAGTCACCCCATAGAAATAGAACCCAGATGCTCCATATTTACAGTACATAATTTTACATATATTTACCTACAAAACTGGGCCATTTCTTGGGTAAATGTAGGTCAATATTCCAGCACCATGGTTCGCATATGGGGGAATGTTTGTTATCCCTTCTAGAAATCACCAGTTATAGCTGGTAGCCATGGCCAACATCCGAGCCCATGGACCTCAGGAATCTCCTTGAGTAACTGCAGGGCCCATTGCCACTCGTGGCCTTGGTGATGCATTTGTTTTCACGGGAAAATCTTAACCGGAAACCCATGGGTTTTTACCATCAAAAAACTAAAGCTTTCCTGTAAATTTTCCCATCATCCAATTCTATGGCCTTGGTGATGATGATTCACCGTCCATCTACGCAAGACAGGGATTTCACCATGGATTTTCTTCATAACCCATGACGGATCCATGGTGCTGCTATCTATGGTAGCATGGATCCC